ATGCAGGAAATATGATTAGGACGTTTGCCCCTCCCTTCTGCACAATAAATATTCTGCTTGTAATACTATTGTCAGTTCCCCTTCCTTTTTGGCCATCCATCAAGTCAACATTTTCACTCGTACCTATCACCTGGCCTCTGACAGCCTCGATTAGACAGTAAGTGTAATGAGCGAAGGGGGAGGAAGATGCAGGCCCTTTCACTGCTCTTCTCAGGACTGAACATCATATTCCTTAAGAATGTTCATGACAGCAGCTCCCATGTTACATGATTATGGCAAGGTATGTGAAGAGAGATGATCTTTCTTTCTCACCCAGAAAATTGAAATGGTCAAATAAATCTCAGAGGAAAGAGTCTCAAATAGTGCAGCCATTGGCCTGGCTCTTGCTTTTGATCTGAAAGCTTTATTTTCAAGAATATTTTCACTGGGTTGGGATTGTTAGTTGGCAATTGAGTAAGCTAGACTTGGGCTTGTAGTCTGTAGAGAGGAAATCACACAGAATGCAGTAGATGGCACTTGGCAGTAGCACTGGAAGAATATACGAAATTCCTGTAGGTGGAATTGTGGTTGGGGGTTGACATTGGGAAGACAGTCTTTGCCTAAACCTTACTTTTCTTTTAGTTTAACCCTACTGTGTGAATCAGTAATTTTCTCTTTCTCTGGCTTGCGGGGACTTAGAACAAATGAAACTATTTAGTTTCTAGCCCAAATACATTGTCATTGTTATGCCTTCTTGATTTTTGCAGCAAGTCATCCCCTCACTGACATTTCTAACAGCCTCTATACCTAATTTTTGACATTATATGTTATCTTTTGTTGTATATGTTCCCTACATGATTGTTAATGAATGAATATTTGCTAAACATATCTCCTAGCTATAAGGCTTTGGGGATACAGAGAGAATTGCTTACATTTGTTAGGTGTTTGACAGCTTACAAAGGAGTTACACGCATACTTTCTCATCTAGCTCTGTTGGCATTCTACTAAAATTGGTTTCTTCATTCAGCCCCCAAATCTCTATTTTTTTAAAAGATTTATTTATTTATTTATTTATTTATTTATTTATTTATTTATTTATTTATTTGTTGATGCAAGAACCGGGGTACAGGCCAGATGCACGGGAGGGTGAGAGGATTCACCAGAGACAGAGTGGGGAACAGAACAGGCAGACTGATGAAATACACTGCTGAGGGGAGCAGCGGGTGAGACAGGAGAGGTCTGCCACGTCATGTGGGACCCTCGCGGGCCGACTGGGATCGAACCGGCGCTGCAGAGGCTGCAGACAGCTTCACAGCGTGGTGCTCAACTGCCTGTGCCACCAGGGGAGGCCCCCCCCCCCGAATGTCTATTTTTATAACTATTTTCCAGAAAGATACATTTTAGGTAGGAAAAGGTATCATAGGCATTAGAAAGCATTCCAGTAATACAGGAGATCTAAGCTAGAGCTTTATGGGTTATACTCAGTCACTGTTAATGGGATTGTGAACAGAGGGAGGGACCTTTGATAGTTTAGGACTATTCTCTGGGCCTGAAGAGGGGGAGGAGGGGAGAGCCCTCTCCAGATGGCAACCTGTTATAGGTATGCCTAGGTATGCTGGCAGGGATACATACAACATATTCTGTGTGCAGGAAGGTACTAGTTTGACCAGAACTTGGTTAGTGCAGGAAGGTACTAGTTTGACCAGAATGTGGTTAGTGCTTAATTACTGACTACCTGATATCATAGAACTTCATAGTTTTTAGAAAGCATTGGAGATCATATCATCCAGTTCATATTTGTCCTTAAAAAATAGGCTCTTTTGAATAAACTAATGTATTCTTCATGACTATATGTTATTTATGAAGTACAGAATGAAACCTAGTTTGTTCTACACACACACACACACACACACACACACACGCGTGCGCGCCTGACTTGATTTTATGATCTTAGAAAGAGAAGTGTTGATGGGTCTCCCCGGTGGTGCAGCGGTTGAGCGCGGGGTTGCGAAGCTGCCCGCAGCCTCTGCAGCTCTGGTTCGTTCCCCAGCCGCCAGGCGAGGGTCCCACATGGCGCGCAGACCTCTCCTGCCGCCGGCTGCTCCCCTCAGAAGTGTGTTTCGTCCATCCGCCTGTTATGTTCCCCTCTCTGGCTCTGGTGAATTCTCTCTCCCATGCTTCTGACTGTACCCAGTGCTTGTATAAATAAAAATAAATAAATCTTTAAAAAAGAGAAGTGTTGAATAAGAAGGTACATTTTTTCCTGTTTTTATTTGTATATAATCATATCAGTATTGTTACTTTTTGAGGAAGATCTTTATTAAGGGGATAGTTTTTGTGGTAGTCTTGATGGTCTCCTTTTAACTCAGCCAAAGCACTAATATCTAATGCAAATACGTAGTGAAACAAGTGGATTCTTTTTTTTCCAATGAGAAAAGCAGCTCATGATTTCTAATCAGGAACCATACATCTTATTGTATTTCTGTTTTTCTTAAGAAAAAACATATCCTGTTTAGTTGTTAGGAACAACCGATCCAAATGGGATTTGTCTAGACTTTGGTGCCTCTGGGAAGTCTTGATGATGCTTGGTATGGATTTCTGAAATTTCACATGTTTCTATCAGTCGATCTCCAAGATACCTCAGAGACCATTTAGATAATAAATCAGGTGAGATTTAGTTTTGTTTGGTTTTATGCAAAGAATTATAATTAGAAAAAATGTTTAGAAAGAAAGAAATGAGATTGTAAGTGGAGATTGCTTGGACTTGAGAAAGTCCATTACATGGCATTTATCTTAGCTGTCAGTCTTCTGTAGCTCTTAAGAGATAACATAAGATCGATGGAAGGTGAAATACTCCTTTTACATTGATTGGGCCTCCCCGGTGGCGCAGCGGTTGAGCGCTGGGTTGCGAAGCTGCTCGCGGCCTCTGTGGCGCCGGTTCGATCCCCGGCTGCTCCCCGGCCACTGGAGGAGGGTCCCACATGGCGCGCAGACCTCTCCTGCCGCCCGCTGCTCCCCTCAGCAGTGTACTTCGGTCCTTCTGCCTGCTCTGCTCCCCGCTCTGGCTCTGGTGAATTCTCTCACCCTCCCGCGCTTCTGACTGTGCCCAGTGCATGTATAAACAAAACAAACAAACAAATAAATAAATAAATGAAAAACATGCCTCTATAAAAAAAAAAAAATAAATAAATAAATACATTGATATAAGCTATACTGAAGGGTGTCACCTAGTTTCAGAGTCAAATGAGTTTACTAACTGACCATCCATATTAGACAGACTTACCCCATGTGTGGGAGGTGCTGAACAACTCCATCCTCTGACGAGGCAGATCTTTCTCTATTGCTAACCTGAGCATTGCTTATTACCTACAGGCATTCTGGTTTCTAAAGTGAAATAAGGGAGTTGTTGAACTGTGAATACCCAGCCTTTTCTACTCAGTTTTACCAAAGGCATTACTTTACTGCCCTCGGAGTAGGTAAAGGTTGGAGAGAGGCCAAGGATTACATTGATTTTCATGAGGCATTAGAGGGGACATTTTCCCCAGTATCCCAAGATACACATTTTTTCGTGTTCTAAACTGTGACATTAGTATGTATCTTAAATAAGTGGCATCTTAAGACTATCCACTGAAGATAGTCACTAGTTGTTGTGACCTCTGTATGTGTGAGCTGAGTCCCCACACCATGTCTTCAGTATTTTAATGACTGAACCACTTGCAGGTCATTTGGAGAAAATATGAGTCTTGGTTGGTGTACACATACCTGTTCTTTAACCTTCTGAAAGCATCAAGAACATAAACTTTGCAGATGGACTATGGTAGTGGGAGAGCTACAGGGACTACACCTGAGGGGAAAAATAAAATACTGTACAAAAATGAACAATGATATAAAAAATAAATAAATTGAACAAAAAACAAACTTTGTAGGTTGATATCAGCAACTTGGAATAAAATACTGGATGCACTACTTTAAGAAATTCACTTGGCGGTACCATGTAGAAAAGAATTTCGACAACTCGATTATTCAGAAGAGGTCTCTGAATATTACATGGCTTTCAGGATACCTTAATTAATTTATTATCCTTATATTTCCTTCTTAAATATGTATGAGATTTTTTTTTTACGGTAAACATCTATTTTTTTTTTAAAGATTTATTTATTTGTTTATTTATACAAGCACTGGGTACAGTCAGAAGCACAGGAGGGTGAGAGAATTCACCAGAGTGGGGAACAGAACAAGCAGACTGATAAAATACACTGCTGAGGGGAGCAGCGGGCACAACAGGAGAGGTCTGTCGTGCCACGTGGGACCCTCGCTCGGCAGCTGGGGTCAAACCAGCACTGCAGAGGCTGCGGGCAGCTTTGCAGCCCAGCTCTCAACTACTGCGCCACCAGGGGAGGCCCTAAACATCTATTTTCAAAGCCTTAAATAAAACTTTAAAATGTATGTCTAAATTATATACCCTAGATCTAAATATTTAAAATATAAGGGACTTTTCAGGAAGAGAGATATATCCTAAGTAATAAGAAAGCATTGTGTATTTCAATTAGCCATACTTGTTTTTAAGAGTTAAGATAATTATCTCACAATTAGTAGTTTTAGGTTTGATGAAGTATGGTTAGAGTTATATGGGTCTCAGTGGTTTCAACAAAGTCCATGGCAAACTTAAATGGCATTCCATCCTTCCCCTGAAAGTTTCAGGTGTAATGCTGACTAAGGGAGATGCTGTGATTAGAGGTCAAAATTTTATATCCTCATAGCATTACACCCTTGCACTGTTTTAAATAAACTGTTTATTCCTACTGTGCTTCCATGTTCTCTCTCCAGAGTGAAAATACTAATTCATAATTTATCTAACGAGGAAGTCTGGATCATGTCTTTTAAGATAATTTTATGGATTTCCAAGGCAATTGTTTTTAAATATGGTCTTCTTTGTCACAGTACAACTCTACATTAGCCTTGGTTTATTTCTTTGTAAAAGTTCTAATATGCTCTATCTCTTTTTTTCTTTTTCCTGAAAGGGGGTCCTGATGACAACTTAATTGAAGGTGGAGGGACAAAATTTGTCTGCAAACCTGGAGCCAGGAATATTACCGTCATATTCCATCCATTACTAAGGCAAGTCAGATTCTATGATGTCCTTTCTTATGATCAATAGTTTCATTATTTATGCTGATGTGCCGAATGCCAATAGGTCAGTCAGCATGGAATTGAGTCTTAAAAAACATAGTTCCATTTTCTGCTCCTCTGTTTGCATGTTTTCTGTAGCTGTTTTTGTGCCACACTTACAAGAGTTGAATATTTGCAGCAGAACCCATGTGACCCATAAAGCCTAACTATTTATTAACAGGCCCTTTACAAGGAAAAAATTGCGGGCCCATGATCTGACTCCCTAATTTACAGTAATGAGTCAGATTCCTTTGAGAATTGGCAGGTTTCTGAACAAATCTGATCTGCAAAAACTGAAAGACATTGTAACAGATATATGGTTTCATGCATTGAAGTTTAACTTGATGGTGACTGGAATGAACTCTGTTGTAGCATACAGTTTTGATTGTATGATTGTAGGGAAAGAAGAATTTATGATTGCATTTTAAAAACTTCTAAGCCTTCATTGCCTTTAAAAACCTTAATTACATTTTAGGGGAAGAAAGGAAAGGGAAGTGTTGTTCCAAGGATAGGAAATATCATTTTTGTAAGTTGAAATATTTCTGAGATCCACTGTACAACAATCCATATCATAACATTACTGTACTGCACATGTAAAAAAGGTTCAGATGGTAACTTTCATGTTAATTGACCACAATTAAAATGGTACTTTTTGGACACAGATAACCAGTATACTGTTAATTGCATGTTTTCTCTGTAATGAACCAGCATGTATTTTTGTATTTTTGATATATTTTCATATAATCGGCCAGAAATTCTTAGGTTCATGAAGAGTTAGGTACCTCAGGTCATCACATTAACTCTCTCAGATAAACTGAAATATGCAGGCTCTTGGAATAACAGTTAAACAAATTCTACTAACTTGGTCAGAGATAATACTGTATGTGCGTTTCCAAAGCATAAGCAGTTATTACTGGAATTTTCCTCCCTTCTTATTAACCAAGACTTACTAAATTGCTATCATTAGAACTAGTTCATTTCAAATCTCTTATTTAGGTAATTAGTTTTTTAAATCGTACTACATACAATTACTCTTTTAAATTTAAATTACTGAATTAGTTTTAAATGCGAAAGCAAATATATATGTATGTGTATATTTATGTTTGTATATACATATATGTAAACAAAACCCTGACTATCACACAAAAATAAGAGGCCTTTAAAGAACCCTTATTTAAAGAAGTCTTTAAAAATGTGTTTTCACAAACATTTGCAGCAGGTAGTTTCATGGAATTAAGAAATACAGGCCATTTCTCTAACTGATTTTATATATATATATACATATATATATATATGTATATATATATGTAAATGACAACATATGGAATTTTTAGATTAAACTGCAGTGGTCATATATATATCAGCTGACATTGGTAATTAGTTTAGCATTCTCTTCTCCAATTACAATTGATTTCTACTTAGTTAGTGTTGCTAATTGTTAAGAAAATGAGAAAAAACCTTAATCAATATAGGCATCTTCTACCTACGTTTAATACCATCATTTACTGCTAAGTTAGACTGTGGCTTGGATAAATGGAATCCTTATGGTTACATTTGTCCTGTGTATAGAAGAATCCCTTTAGAAGATTTTTTTGGCAGTGTTGTCGATGACCACTTTCAATAAATTTTTCCCATAAACTTTTGTTTCTTTTTAAACACAAAGTTAGAAGACTGGAAAAAATAGACTTATTTCACATGTAATCAAATGCATTTCTGATAAAATACTGGTGGAGGTTAGTGTTTTATAATTCTTGACAATTATTTTTCGTATTTATGTTGATTTAATAGAGACTTGGCAGCATTTCTGCTAGTTTTACGCACTTGTTTGGTCTCTACTTTGATTTGGAATTTTAATACATTATTGGTTAGAGCTGGATAAGTTTTGTTACATGATATAAATAGTTTATCATTTTGTATAATGGAAGTCACAAGAATATTGATTGCATGGTCTGTGACTTAATTCCTTGTTAATAAGCAGGTGATGATCACAGATTTAATTTAGCCCTTGATTTAAATTATAGTCTTAGTTGAGAACTCAGTGTGTTTTTAAACTTTAAAGGACTAAGATCTTTCCAATTGTTGTTTACATTTTTTCAATTCAGCATTTGCTGAGTATTAGATTTATTATTCTAAAATTCAGAAGTTTAATTCTGTATTGAGAAGACTGCATTATCATACGAGTATTTTATTTTTATTATAATCATTTAAAAGTTTTATACTTAGCAAGTATTTGTTGAGCACTTACAATGTTTTTCTTCCCTAAGCTATATTTGGACTCTTATGTAGAAATAATCCCTCTTAATTTTATGGGAGTGTTTGAATAATGTATGTGCATGTTTGTTTTACATCCTGTGCAATGCCCACTGTTTTCGTTTCCCATTTAATTCACAGTGAATGTGATTTAGCATTTTAGTATTTAAAAACCAATATAGCATAGTGGGAGGGGCAGTAAAGGAGGATAGAAATGGGGTGGGGGGAAACACAGGATTTGAAACAAAAACCACAAATATCTGGGTTCAAATCTAGATTATTTATATTACCTCACTATTCCCCACCAATTATTTTTTGGCGTCTGATTCTATGTCAGGTCCTGGGGAACAAATAAACAAAACAATAGCAAATCCTTGCTTGTAGGTACTCACTTGGTAACAGAATGAGCTACAAAAAAATTTAAAGCCAGAAAGTCACTATATTGGGGAACACATCTAAGAGACATGTACATCAGTGGGACCTCTGCTACTCTGTATGTAAATCGGTACAGCCTGCCCTGAAACCAGTCTCATGTTACTAAGCACATACATACCTTGTAACCCTCTAGTTCCTCTCCCCTCATGCTTCTGTTTGTATAGGTGACTCAGTATCTCCCCACTCCATTTTCCAAACTTTTTCTAATTGATTATAATTATTATTTATAACGTAAATCATATTCAGGAAGGAACTTGTCACCAGTTGGCTTTTATCACAAGCCAACATGTAATTAAACATCATGGCATTGCTTTCGTATACTTTCTCTTAGTAAACTCAGTTACTTTCACTGGAAGAAAGAAACTCTTTCAAGTAGATGGATCCATTATTTTCCTCTGCTACTCTTCCCCTGTGTCTGGCACAGCTTGTGCTCTTCCTGAATCTTTGGATATGGCTTTCCTACGCTTCATTTAACATGTTCTTTCCTTAACTTTTATCCAGCTGGCAGTACATTCTTCACAGCCTAAAGTTTTTCTATATGGAAAACTCTGACCCATCCTTCTAGGAACAACACACAGCTTTTTCCCTGATGCTGTTTCTGTATAGTCTCAGCAATGGTTTATATTGTCCTACCATAAATTTATTCTGCATGATCCTCAGATCTGGTCACCTTTCAAACTCATAACACCTTATATAAAGGAGTTATGGAATCTAGATTTCTGAGAACTAGTCTTTTCACCAGGAACCCTCTCAGGGTGTGGGAGGCAGGAATCCCCACTTCCAGTATGTTTTCTACCCATGAACTCTGCTGCTTTCCTGGCTTGTTCATTTCATACTTTCTAAAAACTTGTCTTATAGAAGCTTAAGAAATGTGAGATATGCATTACCTTGCTTGTTTTATTATTACCCCAAAACTTGTTGTTTTCTGCAATTAAATTGTTAATGGCATTGTTTGATAACAAGAAGTCATCTAATCGGATTTTCTCTCTGTGGGGCTCAATAAACAAAACCATTGAAATAAGTAAGAAATAAGTGGTTTCTAACCATGTCTAGATAGAATCTGAAATATTTCCAGCAAAATATAGACCTTGAAAATGATATGACTGATGCCTTTTTATCTTCCACTAATGTCTTGTTCTTAAAGTTTCTCTGGAAATCTTCAGGACAAGTGATGGTTTTACTCGGATAAATGGAATTTATCTTTTTTGCCCTTGATTTCAGGGAGCAGAAGAAAGATATGTTAATGCTGAAGTTTGGTGAATTTCCCTTCTTTGGTCTAGGTCTGACATACATTTCAACTTGTTTTTTTTTAGAAAATTTATTATTTTTGAATAATTGTGCCATGGTAATTATTAACCATGATTTAAATATAAGTCTTCACCAATGAAATATATTTTATTGAGTTATCACTAAAGTTTGACACAGAGTAATATTTTCATTATAATTAATATATAATGTAGTCATTTTAGGAAGTTTGAATTATTTTGTGGCTCCTATTTATGGATTTAGGGGAGGGGACTGAGAATTTATTTTTCACATTCTTCCATTTACTTCTCATTACTATTCTTTATTCTCTAAAAGCCTGAAAAGAGATCATATGTTTTGCCTTACATTTGTTAGGGCATTTCCTTCCCAGAACAAACAATGGGTCAGACAACGGTTATTCCTTTAAAAATGAAATGCTTGTCACATCCAACTGTATTATTCAGAAAACACTTGAATGCTTATTTATTTGTTGTCAGTCAGACAAATTGGTGGGGGGCTGGGTAATGAAAACAAAGTCACCTGTGTAACTCTGTGGCACACCTCATCTCACAACAGTAGATTTTCAGTTTCAAACGTGGAATCATCTAAGACAGGTAATGAGATTTAATGTAGCCTGTCATTGCTTGAGAAACAAAAGTCCCAAGACTTCAGGACAATCAGGAATGAGAATACTTAAGTCCAAGAAAGCCTTTTCTCTGTGTCCTCATGTGGTGCTATCCACTTCTGAGAAGGACACCAGCCCTGTTAGATTAAGGTTCCACCCTTACGACCTCATTTAACCTTAATTATCTACTGCAGAGAATGTACATTAACTTTTGTGATTAGAACAAATTTGGGAGATTAGTAAATGATTTATTTAATCATTCTGTTAGCCCTGGAGCCACTGTTTTAATACAAAGAAATTTTCCATATTGCATGATAGAGAAGATAAAACAGTAAAAGTGGGCTGGAGGGGCGGAAAAGTGACCACACTGTAATATTTGGCATTGAACAAATCG